TGGCCAGCAGGTCGAGGGAGGTGATTCTGCCCCTCTACTCAGCTCTGGTGAGACCTCACCTGGAGTACTGCGTCCAGCTCTGGAGCCCTCAGCACAAGAAGGACATGGAACTGTTGGAACGGGTCCAGAGGAGGGCTACAAAAATGATCCGAGGGCTGGAGCACCTCTCCTATGAGGACAGGCTGAGAGAGTTGGGCTTGTTCAGTCTGGAGAAAAGGAGGCTACGGGGAGACCTGATTGCGGCCTTCCAGTACCTAAAGGGGGCCTATAGGAAAGATGGGGAACGTCTTTTTCATAGGGCCAGCTGTGTTAGGACAAGGGGAAATGGTTTTAAACTAGAACAGGGTAGGTTCAGGCTAGAGGTAAGGAAGAAATTTTTTACAATGAGGGTGGTAAAACACTGGAACAGGTTGCCCAGAGAGGTAGTGGAGGGCCCATCCCTGGGAACATTCAAGGCCAGGTTGGACGGGGCTCTGAGCAACCTGATCTAGTTAGCAGTGTCCCTGCTCACTGCAGGGGGGTTGGACTAGATGACCACTAGTGGTCCCTTCCAACCCTAAACATTCTATCATTCTATGATTCTATGCCCTTGTAGCTTTCTGCTCACTGCACCTTGCCCTTCCTTTCTTTTGGGTATGGATTCTCTCCTTTACTCACTTCTACATTACTCTTTGGATGCTTTTTCCTTACTACAAGGTTGATCTGATCAGCTCAGACCATCTTCACCCAATCTGTGCCATTACAAATATATCATTACTACGTAACCATTTTTATTCTGCAGTGTAAATGAATGCTGTATCCGTAATCTTAGCCATTTTTTCACTCCTCAGTCCAGTCCTTTTTTCTGCAAAGGTCTAACATTTTATTCCAAGGAAAAAAAAATGACTTGTAATGCAGCTATCATGCCTACCTTCAGTATTCCTTCTTCTTCTTCCTTCTGTGTCACGGGCATTGAATTTTCCTCACTTCTGCAGAGAAGTCCCACTGACCTCCATGTCCTCAATCAGCTGCTGTTCACACCGCTTCATTTTTCCTACCTCCTTACTCTCCGTGGGTTCTTGCCTTTCTCATTGCACGTGTCAGTTCATCCCGTATTAAAGAACCGTGCTGACCCCATTTGTCCTCTGGCCATTACCACAGCTCCCTTTTCCTGTCATTAAGGTAAATGATTGTGCTGTTTACAGTTGTAGCCATTTAGTTTCACCCTTATCAATGTCATAATACAGTTCTCCCTCGTTTGTCAAAATAGCTAATGACGTGGTGTAGTCCGAGACAAATGACGGTGAGCTGCGTAGCTCTGTCTCATCGCCTTTGACCCACCAGTCACTTTTCGCATTGGTGAGCTGCTATACTGTTTAAGCTGGAATTACAAACTATTTCTTTTTTTGTCAGTGGAGACTTACTTTCTCCACACCTGCCTCAGTACCTTTTCATCTCTGCTACAGCCATGCTGGGGCGACTTACAAGGCCCTCTCTTTAGGACTCTGCCTTGCATCTGTGCCAGTGGTCAAATATGTAAAAATTGCATGTGGCCTTGTTGTCCTCCTGCCTCTTACCTTTTTGGATGGGAGTTCCTTGAGGCAGAGATTGTCAGGAAATGTTTGGATTTTTTCCACGTTTTAGTTCCATTGAACTATTTTTAGTTTATTTCTTTTGCCTTTAATGCATCTTGAAAGAACGCCTACTTAAAATTCTGAGTGCTCCTGACATAAATTAAAACAGAATCCAAAGTAATAATGAATTAAAACCAATAGCATTTTTCTCCAGCCACACTCCCTGCACATATCCACACTATAACTAATTAAAATGAAAATAAGAAATGGAATCTGGTACCCTTTAAATCCCAGGGAGAAGAGTTGCTTGTGCGCTTCCCCAGTGCTTCTCTGAAGCCCCTCGGAGGCAGCTGGGTTTGGCACGGGCCAGTCAGACCAGTAGATTGAAGCAGTTCAAGGTTAAATGAGAAAATTATTTCTGGAGTGAAGGTTTCCAAGTGCGTGCTCTGCTGAAAACCCCCTCTTTTTTTTGAATGGGGTGGATTCTATCGCGGACACCCTGGTAACACATGGGAATCTCATTGGAGAGCGAGCCTGGAAGCAATACTTCAGCTCTTTAGTTCTCGTTTTCCTCATCTGAGGAAAAAAGAACAACAAAACCCCCTAGAAAACTAGTAATACCTTACAAAGATATTGAGGGGGTTAATTAATTAGCAAATCGATTTGATATTTAATGAGCCTATTACTGGACTGCAGTATGAAATACTATCCAATTCTGTTTTATCCCAGAACCTTGTCATCTGCTTGCTTGAGGACATAGAAACATAAACAGGAATTAACTTAGGGACAGCTAACAAATGAAGCCTTCCCAGGTGCAATTAAGAGGAGATGACAAATGTGATTATTGAAATCTAATAAGTCCATTTGTCCTTAGGCTGACAGCTTGATGTTTAAATAGATTCTGTAATTTTCTGCTGTCTCTTTCATTTGTGTTTGTGAATTAGTTCATTTTACTGTTCTAGATTTCTGTGCCAGTTCTTAGTATCGAGTTCTTAATTGTCTTGGGAAACAACATGTATTAAAAAAACAGATACAGGATAAAATTCATGAAGGTAGTCATCATTGGAGAGGCTGATCTGTCCTACTTACAGACCAAGATACTACTAATGATTATAACTGCAGTAATATTTTCAAACTATGAAAGTTATTTCAGCTTTTTCCTATGATATGAATTCTGTTCACTCAATGTCTGTCTGTCTGTCTATCTTTTACACAGACGTGCATTTGCCTTTTTCATGTGTTTTAAGAGCACAGGCCACACTGAGAACTTCTGTGAGAAGTGGGACTATGAAATTCATGCATCCGGTGGTG